ATGTCAATTGAATCAGTAATTCGGTTTAACATTAACTTCATAAAATATATAACTGACATAAACAAAGTAAACAACTTGTAATCTTATAATAATAATAATAATAATATTAATAATAATAATAATTACATTGTTAATAAATAAACACTCTAATTAAAGAATAGATAATAATATGAATATGAATAATAATGAAAATTTCAGAAGGATTAATAAGATGGAATTGATTCAACATGAATGAAAACAATAATAATAAGATAGAAAACACATGTTATAAAAAATAATAGAATATCAAATAATCAGTAGATATTTCCATTTGTTTATATTTATATGTTTTAGATAGAATTCTATGAGAGTGATAAATTATGAATAAAATATCAGAAGGGGTTTTGTGAAGATTGTAGTAATCTCAATAGTTGAAATCATGAGTCATTTGGAGCTAGACCACTATGGAAAATCTGGAAGTACTGGATGGCCGTTTCGTCCTACTGTGGGACTCCTCCTTGGCAGTTCGCGTCCCATCCACTGCCTGGCGCGATTCGAACCCAAGAACTACAAGCCTCTCAACTATTGAAATTACAACAATCTCCACAAAACCCCTTCTCATATTAATCAACATATTCTCACTAGTGACTGGCTTCAAGAGATAAGTCCTGGAGTTCTAGTGAGAAGCAGTGAGCAGTGGAGTTCAACCTCGTCAGTTGTGAGATAGTAACTCACTGATGACAATGGTGGATGTGTCACTCAATTTCATGGATTAGTTGAAGTTAGAAATTAACACCGTTGGATGCCGACCAATTCAGTGGTCTAGTGGTTAAGCGCCTGGCGCGAGACTGATAGGTCCTGAGTTCGAATCTCACGGGCTGAGATCGTGGATGCGCACTGCTGAGGAGTCCCACAATGGGAAGAAACAGCCGTTCAGTGCTTCCAGGTTTTCCATGGTGGTCTAGCTTCAACTGACTAATGATCTCAACTACCGAAATTACTACATTTTCCACAAAACTCCTGATATTAAGCTATGAATAACTTATTCATTCATATTATTAACAATTTTTAGGTGAGTACTAATAATTTTTCAGATGGTGGAGAAGATTTGTAGCTTAGATAGATGATTTTATCGATTTCGTCGGTGAAAGCTTCACGACTAAACCATCCACCTCAGAGAACAAAACTCTATTAATATATTTATATAAGAAAATCTATTGAATTATTAGTGATTAACTAACTTTATCCTCATTAGAACAGTAGGAAACTTCTAATTCTAAATGTTTATACTGTCACATACATATAATCTATCCGTAAAATTACAATGAAATCAATCTTTTAGTGAATTATCTATAATGTTTATCTATATCTATCTATCTATTTATTTATTTATTAAAAGTGGTTGCTTTTCTCATTTATGCCTAAATATAAACTCACTGATGACAATGGTGGATGTGTCACTCAATTTCATGGATGAGTTGAAGTTAGACATTAACACCGTTGGATGCCGATCAGCTTAGTGGTCTAGAAGTCAAACGCTCGTGCGCGAGACTAATAGGTGCTGGGTTCAAATCTCACGGGGTGAGATCGTGGAAATGTACTGCTGAGGAGTCCCACCATAGGACAAAACGGTCGTCCAGTGCTTCCAGCTTTTCCATGGTGGTCTAGCTTTAAGTCACTCATGATCTCAACTATTAATATTAACAGAGTGACGAATAAAACTAGTGACCGCCGAAATTTATCATCCAAACATAATATATCTACTTTTTTTTAAAAAACTTAAAAAGCCTAAATAAGAACTTTCGTCTAAATTTGATCGAATAGTTTCAGTATTTGGGCACCGTTTGAAAAGGAAAATGCTTTATGCTTATGGATATTACATGTTCCTTTTTTATTTCTTTTCTTCTGTTATCTTTAAAATTGTACAGTATTGAACCGAGGTTAAAAATTTCATAACATGCACATTAAAGTAGAAATTGGTTATTGCAATAACAAATTATTTTTTTCAAAAAAAAATCGAAAATTAGGGGGATTTAACTCATAAATTAAACAAGAATCTTAAAATTACATTTATGCATTATGAATTAAATGTATTAGTCACAAGTGTAAATATTCGATTGTCATTCAAAGTCCAAGAATTAAAAAAAATTCGCATAATAATTAGCCGCTAAGTATGATACTATCTAAATATTCACAATAACTGACGACTAAAATATGACACACGGAATAGTACAATGTAATTGTATGAGGGATTATTTTACTTTCACTTATACACAGAATATATCAAACGTAATATCGAATCTATTTCTATGTACCATGTGTTGTTATCGACAACTTACATAATCTCTCATTTTATTACTGATCTGCAGTACATTTCAATACATTTCATTTACAGTATTATAAATTTTAATACATTATAGTTTTAGAAAATAACCACTTTCTTAAAAGGTTAAAGTTTTGTTGACTGAAAACAACCACTTAAGAAATTTATTAAAAATAGATCCTTAGATGTGTAATGATGAAAATTAATGAAATAAAAAGGATTATTTCAGTGTTTTGGGGTTATATGATTGATTCATGAAGCTTCTGTAGTTGAAATCATGAGTCCATTGAAGCTAGATCATTACGGAAAACCTGGAAGCACTGGACGGCTGTTTCGTCCTAGTATGGGACTCCCTAGCAGTGGGCATCCACGATCCCGCCTCGCGAGATTCGAACCCAGGATCTATCAGTTTCGCGCGCGAGCGCTTAACCACTAGACCACTGAACTGATCGGCACAAAACCCCTTCTGATCATGAAGCTTCTATTATTTTTTAGATAACATGCATAAAATTAACTTTAAAAATGAGTTATTAGTAACTTATCAAAAAATTATAAATATTCACTTATTAAACGGAAGAGCCACAATAATAAACCATTCGACTTATAAGATAAAATATTACCAATATATATCTTGGAATACAACTAGCCAAAATACATATGTTTATTTCTAGCTTTTATTATTTATAGATATCAAAGGTGTAGCTTAAGCGTTAACAAATGACACAACGTAAACACACTAGTAATCAATGTAACAGCCTAATATGATTAAAACAAAAATAAGTTATAATAGTCATAATAGTATCTAAAGCATTACATAAACGACTAATATTTGAACGAAGAATATTTCTTTTCGATAAATTCTCTTCAGGTTCTACAATTCATATATCCAAATTAATAATCTGAAAAATGACCAGGTTAAGAGCAAAGTACATCGTTTCAAGTATGTGAATTCAGGATTGTGATAAACAAAATACAATAAATTCACTTGGTATTGTTTTCCTTAGAAATCTTAAGAGACATGTATTAACTGCGTCTAAATTTTTCGTAAGTACTTTTAACTTATTATATTTTATGTTCAATGATATTAAGGTGAATAGTTCTTTTTTTCTTTAGATATATATTTTGAGTTATGTAATCAGGTTATTCGAAATCTAGAATAAATAAACTTAGAAATAATGTTTTATTACAGAAATTCACTGGATTATATCTAGATGTTAATATCAATTCTGATGTTATGGTTTAGTGTTCAATTATCAGACATTTAACTACAAAACCTGACAAAATTTAATTAAACCTAGAGTTCTGCTAGATGATGAAATACCAGAGTAGTTTTTAAAAAACTTCCATTGAGTTTTACATATTGTACACATGAGACATCAATTTGTTAATTGTATAATCAGTATACTGCACAAAAGATCTGTCTTTATTACTTCATGGCTGGAGAACACGGCTTATGATGGTGCACGGCACATATGGGCTAAAGTTAGTTATAGATATTTTCAAAGTATTGTTTATGCATTGACAAACCACCAAATTTGAAATGTTGGGGTTAAGCGTTTTAGAGTTTTAGATAGAAATATTAACTTAACTGATCAGGTCATAAGCACCAACCAACCACAGTTCAGCTTGATACCATATGCTGGCTGGCATAGCAGCAGGCTTGAAAACGTTAGCAACAGCTGAAATACGGAGTGTTGACGAACAGGTTGTTAAACTTAGTGACGTCAGTTGCTGTTATCCTGCAAGTTGTAATACATGGATCAATCTCAGTTTATGATCAGAGACGTTTAGTAAAATGGTTCGAGATCGATCGGAGATTTCATCCGTTCCCTATCTTTATTTAAAGTCTAGTGTTATTCCAGGCTTATCATTCTTTGATCTTACTCGCTTATCTCAAGCTATATTTCTTATATTTAGCTTTTCTACTGTAAAATATGTTGTTTTCTTTCTTTTTCCTTCCATGTTAATAATTTCGCTTCTCGATGTGCTGCCGTGAATTGTGGCAACTTTGTATGACACACACATATGTATTCCGAATTCTACGTTGCCCATTAGTGAATTTTAATTGTTTTGCTGGAGAGAAGTCCATAGCTAAATGCTACTAACGAAATAGTTTGTAAAACCATACTCATATCGATACATTTCTACTTCACGTTACAAAAGCTTGGAATAAATATTCGTAAATAAATTTGTCATAAAAAATTTACTTTTAAGTTTATTTATATTAATTTTACTACTTAGATTATCTTTAGAGAAACTTGAGTGATAAGCATAAGCACTACATAGATGTGACAATTACAGACTAGTAGATAGGTACCTTTATGCCTGATAACAGGTATATGATAGAATCAAGTTCTTGTGCTAGATAAAGCATATAATCTTTGCAGGTAGACAGTCTATTATTTTTTTATTTATCATAATCAAATGATTGACTTTTTCCTCTTCAATGCAAGCAGACCCGCAATAACTAGCTCGCAGTTGCATGGTAAAATGAATAACAAATAGCTTTACAAGAAGTATGAATATTAATAGCTAAAGAATTCATAGACTAGACATTTTTCTACACACATTTATAGACCACAAAAAAGCTAGAGTTGATAAAATCACTAAAGTGAGAACTAGCTGTTCTAAGATATCTAATGATTAATTATGTCAATGTTTATAAATTAACAATCTATTAATAAATTACAATAGTTACCTGGAAAGTACTAAATGCCTGGAAACGAGTCCGACAAAATTTGCACAAATAAGGTCTTAAAACCGTTGGTTGTGGTGATGTAGCTGGACTAATCAGTTGTTCTGTATTTATTCCTCGTGTTGATAACTTGCTCTGTTTTGAACTAGAGCATGAATCAGGATTTATCTGTTGTATTTGAGGTTCGTGTTGTTGACGTTGGTGTTGTTGATGGTTTTGTTCTATCGTTGAAAATTGAGGAAATATTGATCCTAACAATTTAAGAGCTGGAAGCAAATTTAAAACTGATGAATTACTATTATTACTAATATCATTAACACTGGTACTGTTAATACCAGTTGAATTTGGTTCTAATTTATTCACAGATGGAGACGTGCAAGTGAAATTTTGACTGGAATTTATTGGTATGTTGTTGATTACACCGGTAGGAACAGTGGTCATCGATGTTGTCAGGATGGGGAATGTGTTTTGTAATGTATTGCTACTTGATGTATTTATTAATTGGTCAGACGATGAAGAAATTAAAGGATTGATACACATTGGGGAAAATGGTATAGATGATAAAGAAGAAAATTTTTTATACATGTTGCTATGAATACTATTAGTAAAAGTGGAATTGTTAGTACCGTTATCGCAGTTATCTGTAATCGTTTTAACAATAGAATTCAGGGTATTATTTGAGGTCGGTGGATTAACTGAATGTGATGTTGTGTCAGGTGGAATAACATTAGTGACATTACTTGACGCGGGTTCGGTCATCAATGCATTTAGATTAAACGATGACTGAATATTCATTGAATTAGTTGCTAACGAAGCATACAGCATAAATAAAAGTTGGTTGACGTTAAATGGAAATGGTATTGTTTGTGAATTAGTTGATAATCCACTTGCTTGTGATAACATTTGAGAAAATGAGTGAAGTAAATTTTTGTCCACATTATTATTATTATTCTCAATGGGTGTTTGATTATCTAATGAAGGTACAAAATCATTACGATTGTCTTCTGTATGACATGGGACTTTTAGTAATGAATTATTAGGCTGATTAAGAGTTCCATTAGAACAAGAACTAGAATCTTTCATAATATCAAAATGTTCTTTTTTCTTCTGTGAAAATAATTGCGATTGACAGTAATTTTGTTGTTGCTGGCTATCTGTGAATTCATTTATTGTGTTGTACAATTTAAAGGAATTTAATAGTTGAGGATTAGATGGATTCGCTGATAAATCCAATATATTTGAAGTATTTAGTCGAGATAATGGTGCTTCAGGTTGTTTATTACCAAAGAAGTTTGTAGAATTAGTTAAATAACTTGAAGGTGATAATGTCACCGAGGAATTGTTACTATTATTTGAAGAATTCAATGAATCATTGATAAATTCACATGATGAAATTGGTGTAGTACATTGTCTTTTATTATTCAGTGTTTGGAAATTGCTATTATTATTAGTGGTATTATTAGTATTTTTAAAACCATTAACGCTCTCATTGTTTTGATACCTTTCTGAATTATGTCTTTCTGGAAGTTTAGAGTTTAAATTAACAGGAATGTACTGCAAACCATTTGCCGTTACTAATGGTGCAGCAAGTATTAGTCCAAATCGATGAGCCACAGCCGAAAGTTGTGATAAAGTCCACACCATATCGTTGCTACTTAACATATTGCCTACGCTTTCAATATTTTGATTCATCAAACACGTTTCACTGGGATTTATCATAAGAGGTTCTAATTTATTTGAATTAGGTGGAAATGTAGAAAGATACTGGGATGCATATAACTGTTGACAGTTGGGACAAAAAAGAACTCTTGGTGCCTGGTGCTCTAAATTATGAGCCTTATTATTTTGAATGCTTGACGCATTGAGTTGAGTAGGGCTTATATGAGTGTCAGATGAATCAATTTTTGTTGTAAACTCAGATGAGTGATTTCTTTTCATCTTATCTGACGTTGATGGCGGTTGTTTCATAGCTGTCGGAGATAAGGTATGGTTAACAGATTGATTGCATAAGGGAATATTCAAATTTGATTCATTTCCTTGAGTATCGAGACTTATTGGTGGAATAAGACGTGATATCATCGGAAGCATAAAGTAAGCCAATGGATTTTGAAACATTTGAGAAAGATATGTGGTATCACCGACTCCAAATAAATTTAAAAATGTAGGATTAATTAAATTACTCATTTGAATTGGGTCAAATAAACTTTCATCACGCATATTTACTGGATTCGATTCGGAGTTATTTTCCGCCATCGTGCTATATTTGGCAGCAGACACGGAGGTACTTGAGTTAACGGGAAAATTGGAACCTAGTGCATTAGTTCCAAAAGATTGAGATGAATTCTGTCGTTGGTCTAAAAATAAGTTACAAGCATATGGTCATTAAACTTATGACATAACGTCGAACATATATAGCGTCTTAATTACTTAAGTTGTACAACTAACAGTTTACCCACTCTCAGTTTATTGTTACTAGTAATCATGGTAGATGGTCAGATAACCCAAGTAGCTGTGTACTCAGAGTATTTTATCTATATCTTTAATAACTATATGAATGTTTTAACCTGACTTTTTCTTCTGATAACTAAACAAACTATTTACTAAAGCATCAATTTCCAGATAAACAACACTGATTGGGGTATTTATTACTACCATTATCTCATAACCACAAACATAGTTCTAAAATAAAGGATATTGATTTAATACAGCTTTTGAGCTATTCCTTAAGTTATATATTCTACTTTTTGTAAAAAATAATGTTTTTGGATGAAAGACCGATACGTTCCAAGTCAGTTCATTTCATTCATTTTAAAATAAACTGATCAATGATAACATTCATAGAGATCTGAGAATTAACTGAACATGACTTGTCAGAACTTAAAATAAATCTATTCAACTAATTTCAACGGAGAGAGATCAGAAAAACTAAATTTACATTCTAAAAACTATTTTCAAATCTGAAAGCGGAGGAACTGTCTTTAAAAATAAAAAAATATATCCGCGAAAATACTGTGGAAAACAGCAAAACTATCGTAATCTATACTCATTGTAAAAGACAGCATTTTATACTCAAGTTCTTTCATACAAACGTAAACTCCTGAAATACTAATAAGGAACCATAACCAATGTTGTATCTGGAGTGGAATGTATAAAGCTAATGGCACTAGACGATGATCCCTGAATATAACAACTTGACTGATGATGAAAATTAGTACCGTATGCTAGCAACTAAAAGGTAGGAAAATAACGCATCAGTCATGAGGTTTCAATCTATTGTGTTAAGTTCCATGTAGAGTTATGAGTGGATATTACAACTGAGGTGTTACAATCTAACCGATACTACCTGCTTTTTAGTTTATTGCTTATCAATAATTATGCTATTTATATTGTTTGTCGGCTTAAACTGCAGTGTAAGTCTCAGTATGGTGTTCAGAAAATCAGTTCTTCTTACTTAAGAAGCAGGATAATTATTATTCAACTGTTATTACAAGGTGTTTTATTTAGTAAGCCTTCAGTATCGGGGTGATCAGTCCAATTATCGAATTTCAATTGAAATACAAACATCAAGAAGTATGTACAGACAATTGGTATGCTTCGTCTTAGATTATACTCTTACAAGCTAAAACTTTCTCTTAAAATTTATGGCATGATAGTTTAATGAATCATTGTGTTCAGTTTTCATAAGAGAAACTATATCTTTTTTGCTGAAATTAAAATCACTTCTAACATGATTAAAAGGTTTTTTAAACAGTTTTATCATCAGAAATCATCAACTAAAGAATAACAGACCAAATTAGTGTCTGAAAATGCTATTCTATTTGCCTATATTTAATGATGTAAATAGTTTTGGTTATTCGTTTGAATCTAAAACTACGCCAAAAGCCTAACAATTTATCTTTTTTTCACTCATTTATTGAGCCCCTTAAATTTTTACAAAACTTTATTTTGTGTAGTAAACAACATGATAACTAATCCATCTATCTATTTATCTATCTATATATCTCTTATGATCACTCGTCAATTAGGTCTCTCACTAGCCTGGTCTTGTTAGCTTTCGTTTTATCTCCTGCCATCGGCCTTTGATTGTATATGTATTTAACTATGTGCATGTTCTGTTGTGCATACATACATATAAATACATATAAACATTTCTACACACGCACATTCATCTTCATGGTAAAAAAAATCGCTATCTGATAGTGATTTATCTAAACAAACAATCTGAGAAACGTGAATAAAAGATAAGATAAGACAGCAGAACAAGAGATAAGTGGAACTGATAAGTAAAAAAAATGAGGCCATAAGAAGATAAGTATAAAGATAAATAACCGAATAGGGAGAATGAAGGCGAGTCTACACGGAATTGAGAATTAACACAACAGAAATTATTTTTGGGTTGGCAGGAGAGAGAAACTGAGATAGAAAGACAGAGGAAAATGAAACAGGGTGGTGTCAGCAATAAAAAAAAATAATGAGATCTGAACATTGTACTAAGTCAGTGTAGTTTGTACATGTTAGTATTAAAGTATTGTTATTTACATACACTTAAGTCATAGCAAACGCCTCTCATTATTATTATATGTTTATTATCATTGCTGATGCTACGTTATTTTTAAATGAAATATCCTTTGTTGTAGAAAGCAAGACGTTAAATAGATCTATCTAGATGAAGTTGATAAGCTTTATGTCTGTTAACATATTATGTATACAAATGTATACATATGGACGAAGTAGCCTTAATGCACCATGTGTCTATGCCTTATACAAATAGATTCAGGCAACTAGTGTATGGGGAAAGTGGATAAATGTAGGATGTAAGTTCTTAGTGTTGAATCTAATGTAACAATTTTCAATTATTTACAAACAGTACAATCCTTGGGGAATGCATAATAACTTACATTTCACTTTGATATCCGAATAAGCTTATGTGAATTTGAAATTATGTACTACAATGTTTGATTAGTTGAACATTCAGTATCAGGCAGTGTCAAAAATCTGTTACTATAAAGCAGGATTATTAAAATCCTTTTCATTAGAGATTTGTTTACAAGTGTTATATATCATAAATGTGATTACATAATCTAAATATTTTCATGATATTTTATATTTAATAAATTAGGTCTTTATATGAATCAAATAGTCAAAGATAAATAGCATTTATTTTTCAAAGTTTGTCTTTATAAACTTGGTTGACCATAAAGTTTACGTACATCATGTTCCTATTGTACTCTAACGGCTTTATTTGTCCCCTTTTTTATTAACTGTATATACGATTAGAGGTTATAATATGAAAGTGTAGCTTGCATCGTTAGAATATAAATCAATACCGTAACGTCACTTAATAACCATGTGACCCAATAGTAAGGTTTTGTTTGATGGTTTTTTTCAAGTGCTAACCAGTAGTTTTACATGATTAGAGAAAATGTAATACATATCTAGAAATTGAACTGGAAATATAAATGACATCACTATCTAAAAAGTTGAAAGATAAGAATAGTGTAGTATGAATTCACTTAACTAGTCAGTAACTTCTCATACATTACCTTTGTGATACTAAGGTTGTGTGAGAGATGACATAGACTTAACTTTTCTAAATTATAATTTTTTGAAATAATTACTCACTGTTGAACTTATTATTTGTACTTTTATTTGTCGAAGTGTCAGAGTGTGTGACAGATACAGACACTGATGGCTGAACACCAGCTGAAGTAGATGAAACTAGTCCTGGTCTTCGAGAGCAGTAATGTGCCATATGTGCGTTCAAAGTATCCAGATTGGAAAATGATATTCCACAGTGTGTACACTTCTTATCCCGCCTAGGTCCAGTAGAAGGTAAATTGTTTGAAGACGATGTTAAGATAGAAGTTGATGTTGATGACTTTGTGTTGTTATATAACGTTGAATTATGACCACTTGACATTGTTATTTGTTCGGCTTTCTGATTGTCTAATTGAGAAAAGTAAAAAAAGTTTCACGAATGTGCAAATGTTTTAACTTCAGTAAGGTCAAATCCATTTAGTGGTATAGAATATTGATAGAAAGTTTCAGACAAATGACTTGAAAATATCACTCCAAGACTACTCATGTTTATTGTAGATATTAAAATCTAGATTCTTTTAAACAACCAGTTTGTAATTAAAATGTGAGAAACCGGGACTTTGTACATCAAATCGATGCGGTGTTTAAATTTGGACGGATGGTTTTCGGACACTTTCAGTTAGATTAACATTATATCCACCTGCTTACTTTTCTATATAACTAAAATATACTTACCAAGCTGACATGAATAGAAGTATTGACCAGAGTAATCATCTGGTGTACTCTATTTGATTGTAACTGACAGAACTAACGAACAGTTATGTCTGATGATTAATAGCACAGAAGGGTGATTGGTATTCATAGTTGCAGGAAAATGAGTTTTCTAAACGACTAAATAACTTACTAATAAATTTGGTCATTTAGAATTTCCTTTTACATAATACAGTTTGTTACAGAAAGTTGTTGAAACTAAATTGACAACCTTGAGGATAAATATATTCCCAATAGCATTTAAAATAATTGAATTTCTAAGTAAAAGATGAAGTAAAATATTTAATTTACTTATCAATTATAGCTTCAGGTTATGCTCTTTTACGTGAGACAAACTGATATTATACAGCTGTTCAAACTAGATTACATAAGCACTTTTAAGATCTTCTAATAGGTAACTCGGAATCAAGTAGTTTAATATACACTGTAAAACAATTTACTGAACTTGTATTACAAATTTTTCTAGAAATAGGAAATCTCCAATCCATTGGTCTATTAATAGTTTGTACATTATTGTTATACCAAGCAAACTAGTGTCCTTATTTTATTTTCACATCTTGGTTATTGATTAAGTTAATGAGTTGTGTTTATAAACATGGAACTGTGTTTAGAATGGTTACAGTGATCTTGTTATGCAATACTGAACTGGTGTGAATAAACACAACATATGACGATATATACATAGTCATTATGTAATAATAGGCCTCTTGAACAACACGAATAACACTCGATAACAAATCACTAAATGATTATATAATTATATATGTAGTAAGTTATCTCACACTGAATAATTAAGAAGTCAATACCATTACCTACTAACCATCTCCCTCAAGGCTTATCTACATTGAAAAAAAATCAATTTATAGGGTTTTTATATTTTTTATTTGGAAAGTTAGATAATTCTTATCTTTATGAGAGGGAGAGAAAAAAAACTTAAAAATGACACAATCGATGATTTATCTATTCAATCTGTCGTTCGTTTTCTAGAGATATTATACTTCTCAGTTAGGAGATAGTAATCTCAGTTAAACTGTATAAGTGTTTATTATCACACAAAAGTTTTTCATTTTGCATTACTGAAAACTCATCACCATATATCTATATCTGCCATTCATCAGCTTATACTGTTCATAGTTTCAAGTTAATAAGACTACTATTCTACAACACAACAGTCGAAAAAAATATCATCAGTAGTATGATTTGCATGTGTATATGTTTGTAATTTAATCAATCTAGTATAGCATTGATTTATAAGTAAGATATTGTTTTCTCAATAGCAATAATGATAATAATAATATTATTGAAGGGTATGATAAAATATGCAGTCATTAACTACCTAGATAAGCTTACCTGATACAATACGTACCACACCTATCAGGAAGTCTTGTGGATTAATATCTGATCTAGTTTGTAATGTGATTGTTTTCAAAATAGCTGTCAGTGAAAAACGAATAGAAAAAAAATAAGAACATTAAAAAAAAGAAATTGCCCAATAAAATGTAAACAACGTAAGAACTGAGTATGCAGTGCAATTCATCATCAGATTAATTTATCATTGTCATAATCATTCTTATTCACGAGCTGTCAGTATTAAAATTATGCATAATCTTATCGTCATCACCATCAATGTCGTCGCCGGGATTATCAATTCTTTTTGGAATAATGACAGCGCGTACAGGCGAATCAGATCATGACAAGTATACATTCATTGAATTTTATGCCTTGTTTTCCTTCAAACTTCACTGATGTTTTTTTTGTTTGTTTAAAAACAGATGATAAGATGTGATTAAAGAATTCATATGTACAAATGTTATCAAACAAGGGAGTAAACATGACAGAGGAAGTTTAATAAAGATATAAACAATAACTGATTAAATAATACATGATTTGCATTAGTAAAAACTAGTCATAGTGATGAAAAGTATAAACATGCTGTCGAAAATTCAGAATTCATGGTCGAATAATATACTGTGAATCAAATACTAATAAAATAATTTCGATAATGTAATAAGAAGACGGAGATTATCATAGTTCTGATAATCTCCGTCTTCTTATTACATTATCGAAATTTATAAAAGGGACTAATTGCTTTAATAAAATAATACTAATTTTAAAAGAATTATGAACGATACTGTTTTCAGAAAACGAACTTGAGATTAATTAAAAAGGATGCTAAACCAGATGATAAAGATTATTTACAATAAGGGTAAGAGTTAGGTAGTAAAAATTTTCATAAAAAGTATTCTCCTTTTTACATTCCATTTGAAGATCGTTTTAAGGTTAAGTGGTAACATTAGTTTGGCCGTATATACCTGTGTACATCTATTAGAAAATGAAAGGGACTAAAATCAATTATTAAGCTTTTCTGAAGATCAATACTATGATCTGTTTAATTGACATGTCTCAGTATCGAGAGAAATTATTGATTACTCTCCGAGTTTATTCCGGTACATAACGCTATTTACTATGATCCCCCAACTTCATTATTTGATTCATCCTTCTCTGTACATTATCACACATTAATATGATTTGATAAGCTCTCTGGTAAGTGATGCAATCATTTTAAAAGACTAATATTTGAACGAAGAATATTCTTTTCGATAAATTCTTTTGAAGTTCTACAATTATATATCCAAATTAATAATCTGAAAAATGGTCAGGTTAAGGGCAAAGTGCATCGTTTAAAGTATGTGAATTTAGGATTGACAATTAAAATAGAATGTTGATATGAGTCATAGAATGTTAACATGAATCAGCTTATATGTTATGTGAAAATTTAAGATCCATGATCAGAATAAATATGGGTCAGATAGGGTGAGAGAAAAAATAGTGCAATTACAATTCGGTCAAATGTTTAGTGGAAGACTATATTGTGTAGAAAATTATCAGTAAGACATAAGAATAAGAACTAAATGAATCATGTATAAGGGAGATTAATAATGATGTTTAAGCAATAGTAACTAATAATTAAGCCCTATGTTGCATTATATGTTCAGATTACTTGGTTAGCAATCAACTAGACAGCACAATAACTTTGTCTGACGACTATTTTTAACCCTCAGCTGAAAAGGAACTAATTAGTTTAAATATACTGTACAGAATTTTACTTCTCATACTTACGATCAACTAAAATATCCAAATTATGTTCATTCTTATCAGAATGAAGACCGGTCTCGTGTATAACTCTTATCCATGTATGCTCTTCTCCAACAATTAAACTATTCGCGTTTTCATGACTAGAATCTTTGCTCTGAAAATTAAAATCAAAACATTTAAAACTGTCTTATTTGTATAATTAAAAATACGTGACCTGACAGAAACATTTAAACTACAGTTTAAAACGTAGTAAACAGATATATACTATGTTTTCCTTGAATAAAAAGGTGTAAAATTATCTTATTTTCAATGGATTATATTAAAGAATATAAATCTTTTTAGGCACAATCATGATATTTTACAATATATGAAAGCATAACTGGTTTAAAAGTAGATGCATTCAATTTTGTTCGGTTTATTAAGCAAAATTATAGTTTATTTGTGTAATGAAGGTTTGAACCCTACTCTTGCTATTATCATTGAAGGCCTTATTTAATATTATATATTTGATACAACATAGAATTCTCAACACAAAGTGTTTCAATAAGTTTCCTTCTCATGTTTCTTGATCGATCCTGACGATGAATGTTGATTGATCGCAAGTTACATGTTAGTAGTTCAGAAACCGATATCTGAATAATGTTCATTATTTTCAATGCATATTGCCAGTCAAAACAATGTCTCCAGTTGTACTTTTTTGTAACTTGTGCGGAGAAAGGTTTTAAGCTTTTCATAAACGCGCCTGGATATGTTATGCGGTTAAGAGATGTAATGATGTGTTAAAAAATTGATAACTTGTCGAGCTATCTAAGTGGCAAGAACAGGTAGCCCAGATGTTCAAGCAGATCGCCAGTAGATAACATTTTTAGCTCTTGAAGTGGAAGGTAATAGGCTTCAATCCATGTATGAAAATAAACATGAGGGTGCAGACACATCCAAATGATGCGCCCTTAATAGAATGGATTCCATTGTTAGTGAGTTCACGAATCACACTTTTCGGCATTCTTTCGAGTTGAGAAAGATTTTTATGATCTAGAAAATATCACTAATTTTCAGTAAAACAGATGCCTGGATGTATTATATGTCTGCTCAGTAAGACATGGAAAACCATTTATTAGGTTTATTTCAAGCTTCAATTACTTTGATTGAAAAGATGGGTAGTTTCATAAGCCCATACATTTAAATTGTGACCTGAAGCCAAGTACCTGGGGATAAACTCCACATTGTCAAGCTATTTAGGTGTATCGTCGTCAATAACTACGGTTATGTTTTCGTTTAGTCTCTCAAGTGTAGATATTCTGAAATGATTTCTATCGTCGAATTAATTGAGGGAAATTTTTCTTTCATCATGACTGACTGTGCTACAGTCTACACATCCATAGCATGATAGTGTTGTATTTTTTCGCAGAAATCTTTACATTTTTTATGTAAGCAAGCAAAAACAACAGGAAATGAAACATCACACATCACGGATTACGACAGCATGAAAAATAATTCCCGTTTCATTTTTGTTGGTACAAGGCCAAATTAGTGAAGTTTATCCTCACGCAGCCAAGTACACAAACCTGAATGAGTTAAAACATAATACTACTTTTAAGTTTATTATATACGGGAGTTTAGGTTTACTGTTTATGTACGATTGCGTATCGACTAGGGAGCCTATGACTTAATGAAACCTTACATTTGCTTGCCCGGTCCAATATTAAACGTTACTCACACATTATTGATATCAACTTATTAGGAATTCATAGGTTAAAAATTGAAGGGAAAGGAATAAAATAATCAATGATCATACTTTTTGTCTCTATAAAGTTAGCGCATTGATCGAATAACTTATAAGACGTTACTTGGTCATTACGAATCAATACTAGGATAAGTCTAAATAATTTCAGAAGCGGCAAAACTTCCGGTACATTATTAAAAAATGATGCTACGTAGTTGCTCAGAGAAGATAACATGGATTATAAATAAAATTTCACGTCATCTTATGATCACCATGTAAGTTATTAATCTGTAACGTATTTTTGTCAGCATTTGTGGCATACTATTTTAGTCTCAAAAATTTACAAAAGCATTAATACATACAGCTCAGTAGGAAAGCATATTTTCGGAAATACTGTTTTTTGTTGTATGCCATAGTTGTTACCAATATTGATCAGTATACTTTGAAAATTACGTAACTTATAGTTTTTACATATCATCGGTTATTCATACCAGATCTAAATAAAATAAACAAAACATAATTCTGGACCAACTCGCACCTTTACATGTTGTCAGTATAAATTATCCAGGTTGTTTTTACTGATGGAGATATAACTACATGATCAGTTGTATAGTAAATTCATTAATTAGACAACTCTGATTATCCATGACCATGCAGTGACACGAACTGTTTATTCTCAAGACGTTTCAAAGTTAGATAAAGACTGACAGGAAATCATTAGATGTTCATTGAGTTACTTATCAGTATATTTACCCTTAAAACAGCCTTAGTGGTAAGTTTCATAAATGACTTTTAAAAAAAAGATAAATATGGATAAGTATTCTATTTACCTTTACAGTTAACGTAACTAAAAAATCAGGATCAATTTCTGTTGAGTAAGCTATAAGCTTTTGTCTAAGTTCTGAACCAATGTGAATAAGATATGGTCCCCATGTATGACCGACTGAAAAATGTCCAATAGCACATACTGTCAAACATTTGGATTCATTCATAACAGATATTAATCCTGGCGGTATATAAGATAATGTATTCATTTTGCAAGTAGTATTTGAAAAGTTATTACTATTATTATTGTTATTATTAGTAGAATTACTAACTGGAGTCAGATTAGTAGAGTCAGTTTGATGTGATGTGATTAATTCTAAATCATTTCTTTTCATTGTTATTTCATCATTATATACAACTGGTTGATTATTTATAATAGATCCTGTATCCCATGGAGTTGTTCCTGTAATGAAATAAAAAACACAATTACTCCTTGACAAAATAATTAATGTTAGAATCTGTAAATATATCATTATCACCATCACCATTATCATTGTACATCCTTAATCTATTAATTTAATGTAATTAGATAGAAACTAGGTGATCATTAATATATCTACGGATTTTCTTTATTTATGATTACCAGTAATAACTCAGTTAGTACAAAAAGATGTGACGTAAATATTAGATGTGAAATGACTAACTGTCCCATTACCTTTCCTTTAAAGTTATTTGTAAACATAGTATAGGAATAGGATCAAAGTACCATAGACTGAGTTGCATAATCTATCAAAAATATCTTTAAAAACTCAATGCTATTAAAGTATTAATTGATCTTTCATTATAAATCCTAATCATTGTACACCAACAATAATTGGACTACCGAATACCAGTGTGTCTCCCTCATTTTAAAGTTATATCTAATGTTTAATGGTTAAAGATAATAACTGACTCGTACAATGAACGAAATTAATGTGTGTCAGTCAGTCAGTCAGTAACAACGTGGAACTTCGTACGTACGTACATCAGTTCGAGTTTCCATACCACATTAGCACAGAGATTCAGTTATCGATTCAAATCCCATAGTGGTAGAGGTACTGAAAGTATAAGTAGAGATAGGGGACATGAAGGTTTGATGATGTTATTAAAGGAGTATAGTCCAGTGGAATAAATTGGGAAAGAAAATAAAGGACATGAAGAATTCAGAAGATTAGAGTTTGAAAGAACACAATTAATGTGTGTATTAAACATGAAACACAATAATTGGAAACAAAATACTTTAACCACTAATATTCACTTTCAGAAACTATAGAATAAATGTAGCTCAACAATTCTAATGATAAGTAATTTTTACAATTTAAATTAAATTTTAATAATTGAGATCATGAGTCAGTTGAAGCTAGACCACCATGGAAAACCTGGAAGCACTGAACGGCTGTTTCGTCCCATCGTGAGACTCCTCAGAAGTACGCATCCACGACCTCGCCCCCTACGAGATTCGAACCCAGGACCTACTGGTTTCACGCACGAGCACTTAACCACCAGACCACTGAGTTGGTCGGCATCCAACGGTGTTAATTCCTAACTTCAACTAATCTATGAAACTGAGCGACACATCCACTATTGTATTCGGTGAGTTGCTATCTCACAACTGACGAGGTTGAACTCCATTGTTCACTGCTTCTCACTAGAACTCCAGGATTTATCTCTTGAAGCCAGTCACTAGTGAGAATATGTTGATTAATATGAGAAGGGGTTTTGTGGATATTATAGTAATTTCAATGGTTGAGATCATGAGTCAGTTAAAGCCAGACCGCCATGGAAAACCTGGAAGCACTGAACGGCCGTTTCGTCCTATTGTGGGAGTTCTCAGCAGTACGTATCCACAATCCCGCCTCGCGAGATTCGAATCCAGGACCTATCCGTTTCGCGCGCTAGCGCCTAACCATTAGTCTCTTAACGTAGGATAAAATTATGCAGAAAATTTTTTTAAAATTTATTTTGCTTTAAGGTTAACGCCAAATGATTATCTTTTAAAATGATCTATTTCATATTGTCCATCATTTGTTAGCTAGTCAATTTTTGTTGTTTTTCCTTTTCACTGTCTCATGTATCTTAATCCAAAACTTTAGTTGATGTTATTAATTAATGGGATATTGCAAAATTAAAAATTAGAATTCATTAAAAACATGAATTAGTTTCTTTTTTTCAATTTTTATCTTTAGGTCAATCTATAAAGGTCAAATCGTTACCGATTCATAAATCTCTCTTGATACATATATTTTTATACAGGCAAACACATCAAACAAATATGAGTGAATGATCAAAATGTTGAAAAAAGAAAACAATTAGGGTTAATCAATTATCAAGATTTTGATAAAAGCCAGGGGAGTTTTCATTTCCATCCAATATATCCGAAGTTATTTTACTGATAATAATGATACGAGAACCATTGTATTTATTTACTGGTATATAAAAATTTTTTAAAAATAAAAATTAGATGTTTACGTTTATGTTTTATATACTAGTGATAGTAAACTATTGGGTAGCTGATGGAAATCAGTTGGAATCCTTAAAACGATATTCTATGCTAGCTGACATTTCTCAGTTTGTTATAACTGGAATTTCCATAGAAATTATATTAACTGCATGATTTGAATAAGTGTTACTAAGTATTATGGTCTGATATGTTTAGATTTCAGTTGAAATGCTTAGACAATTTATTGTAGGGTCACTAATAGACATTCAGGACTGAAGTTAGCCCGACTAATAAATTACGATTTCATGCGAATGAATAACGGAATCTCGTAAATCATTTTTATAAGCACTAAAAATGATAGCTAAGATTATTTTATATCATGATGACAAAATGTCCTTGTTACTTGGTGACTCAGATCACATTTGGCTTTTGGACACACCATTTTGTATCAGGATACTGGATGATTGTCTAAACAAAAAAAAGGAAATAACCTATTACTTTAACGTCGAATATATTTACCATTAGGGTCTTTCAATGGTTAAGATCATGAGTCAGTTGAAGCTAGACCACCATGGAAATCCTGGAAGCACTGGACGGCCGTTTCGTCCTATTGTGGGACTACTCGCAGGGGAAGAGGTCGTGGGTGCGCATTGCTGAGGAGTCCCACAATAGGACGAAACGGCCGTCAACTGCTTCCAGGCTTTCCATGGTGGTCTAGCTTCAACTGACTCACGATCTTAACCATTGAAATTACTATAATATCCACAAAAACCCATCTGACATTAAGGTACTGACTAAAAAACTAAAAAGATATGGGTGCTAATTAGTATAAACCATTAATTTATATCTAACATCACGGGATATTGTGGGTTAAACAAACACTGAAAACTATGGATACTGAATAGCTGCTCTATCCTATTCTGGAACTCCTCAGCAGTGAACATCCACGACATCGCCACCACGGATCGAACCTAAGACCTCTGATCTCACGTGAAGACTTAACATCTAGACCTAAGAGCCAACACTCAATGAGTAGAAAAATTAGATGTTCTGACGTTTGGTGATTCAGTGTAGAACACTTCTTCAGAGAATAAATAACCAATCAGAATTAATCCAAGTGTATTTATAACAATCTACCCAATGCTCAATTCATTTGAAATTATCAAGTCAAACCTTGGTAATGATACCTACAACACTCAACGGTTTGGTTACCAGAAATTTCGAAGGTGCATACATGATTTTATGAAATGGACTATCTATATATTCACAAATGCTTTCAACTCTCTCTCTCTCTCTCTCTCTCTCTCTCTCTCTATATATATATATATATATATATATATATATATATATATATATATATATATATATATATATATGTTTGCACACACCTATATTGACAATTATGACAATGAGTCATCTATTAACACTTGTATAGGTTTTATGGGTTTATACATTTTTTGACAAGTCATTTGAGAAACTCCAAGAGCATCTATGTACATCAAAATGATCAAGATCAAGTTGATAAATTGTAATGAATTAATATTTGATAGTTCATAAAAATACAAAATCTCGTAATATGTATTCTTTGACATAAAAAAAATAAAACTCTTAATAATGATTGAAATAAAAGTTTGTAATCATTTCTGTCCAGAAAAACCACAGAAATTAAGATTAGCTAAATTACTTGATCTTTTTAAAACTCTTTTCAAGCTTAAATCTAAAAATAACAGTAACATTGTGAAAGAACTGAACATAGAACTAGACTAGTTACAACTACAATACAAATATGTATGTCACTTCAGAAGTAAATATTTATGCTAATTAATCTTGTAATGATAAATTTCACTGTACCATTACACTATCATAATTATGACTATGATAAATCAATTAAGATTGGAGGTGAATAGTTGGAAGATTAATAAAAGCTAAATAGTAAGATCTAAACTACATCTGACGACTCAATAGAATTATACACCCTAAGAACATATCTATTTATTCTTACAAGCTTAACTTACAAATAGTCCGATTTGGTACTTCTTAGATCAGCACTCAAAATAAACCACAGTAAGTCGTTATACACAGTATAACTTTATTCCTAGAATAACTAAGCAAAATACCAACATAATGGTACCATTCCATCTTTTGAATTGAATCTACAATTTATGCATCCATCTCAAAGAATTCGAATCTAGTAAAATCCTAGGAATGGGATGTAAATCTTCTTAACTCCAACAGCACTATCATGTATATGAAAATCCACCAAGTAGGTGAAATAAAGATTCAGAGAAAGTTCAAATGGTATTACTTATTAATAAAACTACATCTAGTAGTAGCAAAGTAAGTCACAGTATTGTTATGTATGTAAGCAATAATGACTAAAAATCTCAAAGAAAACTAGACCGAAAAGTATAAAAAACAAATTAATCTGGTAAATCAATGAAAACGGTAAAACAATTAGGTAGAAATTAAATACCTTTTAAAATATTTTCACAATATAATAATCTCATTGATTTATAGGACTCGTATGAATAGGTAGATAGTATGAATGAGCACGACTTTTTCACTTTCCTATATTAATCACAATGTTATTGATCTTTATTGTGGATTTAACTTTCTGAACAATCATTTTCATACACAGAATAATTATAGGAATTAGAACTTCTACACAGAAGTATGTCACTTTTATAATATACGGTAAATTTTATATCCAAATTGAAAAGTAAGAATAACATAAGTTTAAATAACAAACCGATTGATAGGTTTTAGTAGTCAATCAGTGACGACGTAGAACCATCGGTTGCTATCGTCTCATGGATCCCAATCAGGTAGTCTACACCTACCAATATGGCTCAGTCCACTTGTCAGTAACTTCATGGATTTGTGCCATGTTTTGGTCTGACCGCCTCTAGCTTTCTTCCAACCTACCCCTACACCACAACACATACGTCCAACTACCCTTTACCTTGACGCTCAATGTTAGCTAG